GTCGGCCAGACAGAGGCAATGTTTGAAATAGTAGGTTTTTTTGGTTGATTTTGTTCAGCAGCATATCAACATCTCTATAGGTCACGTAATATCAAAATCAGAATATTTTGTACATAATTTTACACCTTCAATTACAGATATTTTGTACATCAATTTTCTAATTTAATGGAAAAGGTATGAATTCAGATACATTGTTTGTAGATCATAAAATGGTAATTTTACTAAAAAAAAATCTATTTTTATACTATTTACATTATTTGGACTATTGTCCTCATCTTTGTTGCAATATTTATTACAACGTTTCAGGCATTATACGCTCTGGCCTTCTTCAGTATCTGTCTGTATTTCTGAGATGAGGTATTATGTACACTATTTACATTATTCGGACTATTGTCCTCATCTTTGTCACCATATTTATTACAATGTTTCAGCTGTTGTACACTCCGGCCTTCTTCAGTATCTGTCTGTATTTCTGAGATGAGGTATTATGTACGCTATTTACATTATTCGGACTATTGTCCTCATCTTTGTCACCATATTTATTACAATGTTTCAGCTGTTGTACACTCCGGCCTTCTTCAGTATCTGTCTGTATTTCTGAGATGAGGTATTATGTACACTATTTACATTATTCAGACTATTGTCCTCATCTTTGTCGCCATATTTATTACAACAATCCGGCCTTCTTCAGAGGACACATGGCATGGTGGATAAAGGCGTTGGTTAGATCCAGTGACAGGACCTAAAGAGTGTGAGTTCAATACCCGGTTAAGGCAGTGGAGAACTTGGAGAAGAGAATAACCAGGAGATAACTGATAACTGACATCCATTAAACATGGCATGTGGAACTAGAAGAGTCTACCCCAGTGAATGAAATAAAGGGTTCAGTTCGACATTCCAGCTGAAGAAGAACAAAGCGTATGACGACAAAGATGAAGACAATAGTCCAAATAATGTAAATAGTGTACATCATACCTCATCTCAGAAATATAGACTGATCTATTTTTATATTTTTTTAGTTTTGCATTGATTTTCATTTTTTAATAAAAATGAATTTTTGTTCATTTAATTATAAAAATATACCGCTGATTTTTGCTTGGGGTTGGGGGGGGGGCACTATTTGACCATAGCTGGGACCCTAACAGGTGCTACCACCACATGTCAAGGTGGACCTGTGAACAACAACAGTTAAGACATTGTTTTACTCACCTCACAACCTCCAGCCACCAGATATAGTTTATTGTGAAACCCAGGGTGAGAAAAAGTAGGATACACACACACATATAACACATTTGGAGTGTTTGATTGCAAACAATCATAAAAATAAACCTAATGAAAATAAAATGTATGTTTCTGATGTTTGCGAACATTGTGTCATAGATTTTAGAAGTTTATCCAGTTTAAAGCATAACTAGATTTTAGAATTGTGATGATTATACTTAAAAACATGATAATAGCCATAATATATATATATATATATATATATATAATTGGTATTAATCATATATATATATATATTTATTAAAGACATTTTTATGTTTAACGTTCTTTTTATAGATACAAGTATTTAAGTAAATGCTCTGTTTATAATAAACAGTATTAAATAACATTTACTGGCCTGAATGTCCGAGAAATTTCATAGAAAATATTTGTCCTTTGCACGCTAAACATAAAATGTCTTTAATAAATAAATTGTCGGAATTTGTCCATTTCTTAATATATATATATATATATATATATATATATATATATAATTGGCTATCATATATATATATATATATATATATATATATATATATATATATATATAATTGTAGCCATCATATATATATATATATATATATATATATATATATAATTAGCCATCATATATATATATATATATATATATATATATATATATAATTAGTAGCCATCATATATATATATATATATATATATATATATATATATATATATATATAATTGGTAGCCATCATATATATATATATATATATAATTGGTAGCCATCACATATATATATATATATATATATATATATATAATTGGTAATTGGTATCATATATATATATATATATATATATATATATATATATATATATATATATATATATAATTGGTAGCCATATATATATATATAATTGGTAGCCATCATATATATATATATATATATATATATAATTGGTAGCCATCATATATATATATATATATATATATAATTGGTAGCCACCATATATATATATATATATATATATATATATATATATTGGATTTTTAAATTTGGATTGTATAATCTTTTATTGTGTCTAATGTCATCACAAATGTATCCACACTTTTCAGGTGTGTGTTTTTTAATTTCAGGTGTCAACAAATCGGTAGTGATTTATGTATCTGATAATAACTCATATTTATCCGTATCTCACTCATTTAAACCGTTATTTGACTTCTCTCTTTAAAACTTCTCTCTTTAAAATTTTATTCCCCACCCTCACCTTAAGGCATTTCTTGTTCTTCTTTCTTCCATTATACCTCCCTCTAAAGCTTTCATACATTTCCCTCTCACTATAGTTTCTCACTCCCGCATATACATTCTCACTGAAATTTTGTTTTTTATACCTGAAGTTATGTTTTCTGTTTGAATTTGTAGGTCTGATGAATTGGATTGTGATTATGATTCCAATGTAATAAATTATAACCCTGGAATATTAGTGCTTGAGCCTTTTATATTATATATATATATATATATATGTATGAAAATTTCTCCGATTTAATCGGAGAAGACAATATTATGAATAAAAAATGACAATAGGAAAACTGGTAATTGCTGATGACGTTTTGGTCAATGTGGACTTTATCAAAGCAAAATAAAAAAAAAAAAAAAAAATTTTTTTTTTTTTTTTTTTTTTTTTCCGTATTTTGCTTTTGATAAAGTCCACATTGGACGAAACGCGTCAGCAATTACCAGTTTTCCTATTGTCATTTTTATTCATAATATATATGTATGTATATGCTATATTAGATCCTAATGTACAGCCAGTTAAATCAGGGCTACAGGAATGTAGGACACCTATGGCTAAGATACAAAGACAAGCTGAAAAGCAACTTGTCAGCAGTCAATATACCCCATAACACCATTGAGTGCTTAGCCTTGGAGCAGGTAGAATGGAGATCAATGTGTTTTAGTGGACTCAGCAATTTTCAATCTGTTTGTCTGAATTCTCTTCAAGAAGGGAGAGCAAGATCTAAAAGGTCTGCCAATCTAACAGTGATCTCATCTCACAATCCTCACTCTTGCTCCATATGTGGCCTGCTTTGTAAATCACTAGTGGGTCTTAAGTACCACTTAAGATTAAAAGATTAAATAAATTCCCAAGAGGATAGAATCCAGGTAGAACTCAATGTCCAGGACAGAGGAAGAATATAATATAAAAGGCTCAAACACTAATATTTCATTACAATTCCAATGTAATAAATTAAATATTAGTGCTTGAGCCGTTTATATTATATATATATATATATATATATATGCACCCTAGATTTTATTCAAATAATTCCATTTCTGAAAGAATCACTCCTTTCCCAAGTCGACCAAGTCAACATATATCACTAAAAATGTTAAAAATAAAAAATAGGTCAAATACAAAACCATCTATTATTTAAAATATGTAAAACATAAATTAATCCCAAACTAAAAGTATATAAACATCACATTATTAAATATATATATATATATATATATATATATATATATATATATATATATATATATTGTCATCCACAGATAGACTGTTTTGTATCACAGCTCATCAGTGTGGCTAGACATCCGGTTGCCTCTAGCTAGGATCGAAATATGTGTATATATATATATATATATATATATATATTTGGAATGAGGCTTCTCAGAGTGGAAGTTGCCACTTTGAAGAGGAGAAGTGGAGGCACGCAAGGCTTAAAAGAGATGTGCATAAAGGCATCCCTGCTGAACTTTCTGAAGACACCCACAGGCAGCTTGATCCAATGTATACAGATTGTGGTAGAGTGTGTTTGTTGATGGCTGGTCTAAGGACTCACTTGAGAGTGCCCTAACAGAAAGAAGTAATTCTGATTCTGATTCACCCCCCCTCCAGCAAAAAAAAAAAATTTTCGACAAGTGCTGAATATCAGGAGGTAGATAAGTGATAGAAAAGAATAAAGTCAACTCTTTCCAGAAATATATGATTTCTGGAAATGTATATGATTGATACAAATAAAAGTTGTCACTTAGCTGATTGATGTTATATTAAACAGCTTGACTCCAGAGTTTCATAGACAAAGACTTTTTGTAATTGTTCAGTCCACTCATCAGGAGGTTTCAAAAATTGATAATTGATTTTTCCTATTTTCATTATCTTTATACTAAGTTTGACGTAATTAATTTATACACTAATTGAGAACTCTTGTTTTTGCTATTAAGCTGATTTTTTCAGTTTGTGTTTGTGTATATGCATTGAATGCTGCGGTTATTTCTCCTTTTCATCATTTTTTTTCTTGCCTCCTTATACTTTCTTCTGAGGCATGGTCGAGTAGTGGATAGTGGCTCAGATTGAGAAATCGAAGAACCGAGTTCGAATTCTAGTCGAATCCATTACATTCACTTTCGTGCTAATACCCTTGGGAAAGGTATTAATCCTCTTCTTCTCCCTCCAGCTATGAGTAAATAGCAGGATAAACTGTGTTCTATAACCTTGGATGGTAACTGGTCTAGGAGAAGAAATTCAAAATCTGTGGAGGGTCGTTTGGGGACCTTGTGGTATGTGGTGCACCAGGTCTCTGTATTTGGCCCTTCAAAAAGTGTGGTTGGTTATGCACTAAACCTTCACCGCTATAATCAAATCATATGTGATGGTGTCTGGTTGTCAGTTCCTAAGAACTGAGTTGCTTGACCCTCATACGTTACGTCAAATACTATGGGAGAGTCCACCATATACATATATATGAGAGAGAGAGTAAGTGAGTGAGAG